AACATGAATACGAACTAAGACATAATGTAACTTGTAGACGTAAAGACGTTATTATTGACGGTTTGATTTATCTACTTGGATATCGAACTGGTTGTGATATATTATTCTGAATTTGAGAATTTTTAGTATATAAAATTAAGCCTCAATATGCGCGAACGATCGAACGTTACTTGTAATACTTTTCAGTTTTCATGGTAATTTTATTTTCGCTTTTTATACAGTAGCATTTATTTGTTATGCTTTTTTATTTTTTTATCATTATTCTTTTGCTTTTTTTTTCGTTTGCTCTTTCGACTTGCATTTTTCACTGTTGCTTATTTTACTTACTTTTTTTTCCAAACCCCGACTCTAGAATAAATAAAAATCGAAAAAAACACTCTTTCACAAGACCATAAAAATTAGTGTTGGTATTTATCTCAAAAAAAAAAAAAAAATTAATATTACATAATAATAAAAATAATATTATATTTTATTGCAGCAACAAAATATACAATTTATAAATAAAACAAATACATAAGTTGTAACCGCATCTATATACTTCATATTATGCTTGAATGCGGATAAGCTGAGTTCACTGTAAAGAGTGAATTATAATGACATTATTATAGAACATTAGAATACATTATGAAAATAATTACAAACTAAAGACAGGAGAAAATATCATTAATACATTTCTTATATAGTTAATTAAATTATCAAAATTAGCTAAATTAAAATGTATGTAATTAAAATATATATCTAATTATTTGACTTTGACTTCAAAAATTAGTATGAATAAACAGTACCTACTATTAAATAATAATTACCTTTTATTCTGATATTATAATAATGTAAAAGATAATATTGATTTATATTACCTCTAAACATGTATCTCAAAATCTGCCTTTCATAAATTTGAATAAAAGTTAGAGCTTTTAAATCAGAATGATTGTAATAAGTTGAATAAAATCTTGGTTTATAAAGAAAAATGTTAGCTAACAAATTAATAATAAATTATAGACAAAGGTACAAAACATTGATATGTGTAGAATATGTATAGGTGCCATAATAATATGCAAAAACCTATTGTATTAAAACTACGAAAGTAATCCGAGTAAGTTAAATCTAAGAGATTTAATATCAATCATATTTTTAAGATATGTGTAGTGTGTACTATTAAAATAATTTCCTAATAAGATAATTTACAAAATTATATTTTAGGTTCAACAAATTTTAGTCGATGGTACATAATAATATGAAATACGAATAATATAATATGAAATTCACAGTAATAGTACATCAAGATATTTAATATATTCAACTCTTTCCAAAGAAATGTAAAACGTATTTGGTGATTGATATTAATGAAATTCTTCGATATCTTCCATGGTAGGTAGTTTTATAAGGATATCCGCACCTTTGCAAAGTAAATTGAGAGAGTGGCTGTAAATATAAAAAAAAAGGAGCAAGTATAGGTAACCGCTCTGCTGTACAGATTGTGTCGAGTGTACCTCGTCATTGAGTAGGTCACAGTAATGGGTGTATTTGAGTTCATTGACAAATCAATGCATTATATACAATATTAACATTTTCAAACATGTCTACAAAACGAAAATCAATTCATCTCGAGATCAGATGAATGTGGATCACAATACGAATGCCAAGCTTCGCTAAAACGCTTAAGTACTCGGAGCTCACGCCCGTTCGTCTGAAACAATTAAGCATCGGGAAACAAGACTGGAAACCGCTCGAGTACGCAATGACTTGTCATTATTGAAATGGCCATCAACAATGCATATAGGGACAATCTATACAACAAGTGTGTGTGGTCGTGTGAATACATTTTGAAAATCCATGCTTTTCACATGTGTTTGCTGGAAAACCTTCTGAATAATTCGTGTACGCACCAGAAGAAAAACAAAATCATATTGTGTATCCTATACAGACATAATTAAAACGAGGCATGAAATTGTAAGATTTTTTCAAAGAAAATGAACAAAAAGATACAACAAAAAAATAAATATAGTTATAACGAATTTCAGATAAATTCAATTTCGAATGAATGCGGGTTGGGTATACAAATTATAATAATAACAATAATGTAAACATAATTATTATATATATGTTAATATATAATAAAAAATAAAGCTTAAAACAATTATTGATATCAAACTTTCAATTGTGTTCATTATATATATTATATACCTACTGAATCTTACAATAGCAGAGTATTGCCGGGTCAGCTACGTACCTCCTATATTTCATAAATATATATTATATGTTATTTGTTATTGATTCAAGTTACAACTTCAACAGCAAAGGCCATTAGTTACATTATATTTACATTTTATTAACTTACATACAATTTAAATTTGTATGCATTTTTTTTTTATTGTATTTTCAATTTTTTTTATTATTTTAGATGATACTGTATAAATTAGTTTGCTTGGGGAAATTGATTAGTTTTAGATTTTGTTTGTGAGAAGGTTGAAGTGTGGTATTAAGATTGTGAGATATACTGTATTCGACCCGGTCCTGTGCATTTTTTATCAGTCAAATGATATGATTAACAGATAAATCAGATCCACAGATTTGGTCCTAATATGTGGGAGTCCTCTCTCGCCCCATCGCAATATTATCTATATATTATAAAAAATTAGTGGCATCTTGTATTAAATCTTCAAGCTTTTTTTACTGTGACTGAAAGATTTTATTTACATTAAAAAACAAAATTTGAGAATTTTGAATGCATATGTCGTTAGTTTAAAATTGGTCTGAATATTTGAAAATCTCACGGAGTGTAGAAAATGATAATATATGTCGTAATTAAGTATGATTTAGTTGTACGCTGAAATTCTTAAATAATATAAAAAACAAAATCAATTGAAGACAAATCGTTATGATACGTTTTTTGTTATCAAAATATTGTTAATCTATTGTTGTCAAAATTATAACTTCAATAACTCATAGTAAAATTGGTGAGACAATATCGTATTATATTTCAGTAAATAAACATTATAATGAATCTTGTATCGAATTTTCAAACTTTAAGTGCTAAAAAACAATTTTTATAAACTTTATACTAGATATACGAAAAAATGTGTACATTTTTATGATTTTGATGAATTTTGTAAAAATATGAACTTTGACTACTTATAAAAAAAATTTCTTAACAGTATCTTTTCTGATAGGAAATTGAATCTAGTTGGTACTTTGGGGGGTAAAAAGTAAAATTTTCCCAGTAGTTTTCAAAAGCGCCGTGAAAAACAAAATAAGAATTAAGGGAAAAACGGGAATTTTTACACTAAAATCTGTTTTCGAAAAAATCGATTTTGGTCTTTGGTGCAACTCTTAAACAAATGACCGTAGGAACATGAAATTTTGACTGAATGTTTATATTAGAATTTTCTATACACCATAACAATTTCCAAATATTTCGACTTATTTTGAGCTCTTTACGGACATTTTCAGTTTCCATTTTTTTTTTAGTTTTTCTCTTATAAATATCAATACAATTTTATTTGTTCTGTACAAAAGCTTGAAAAATTAATAGAAGGCTCCTAGTATATTGTTTCAAAGGCAGATGAAAAATATTAAAAATCCATATTGGCCCTATATGTTTATTGAATAATATTATATAATATACCTGCATATGGGAATTGATGGGAATTGAATGCGATGGGAATTTATTGTTAGGTTTTTATCTATATCCAGATTTATAAGAAATTAAATTGAGGTTTTTTGGTATAACACCCAAAGCGATTTAGATAAATTTGACTGGACCTCCTACTATTAAATGTTTTATTTACACAACAAATAAATTACATTATTTTTTTCACGTTTGTGGGCACGTTCCAAATTAAAAGTTATGCTAAAATGGGAGAGCGCTAAAATGCTATCATTATTCATCAATCAGTTTTAAATAATTTTGATTGCTTTTGTGAAACCACACGTTGTTTTATATTTATATAGAATTTCACATCCCTTTGACATTCGAGTTATACTTAAATATGACTAGAAATATTAAAAAACTGATATGCGTATATTTTCTTACCCACTCAATTTGTAAAAATAGTTTTACTATCAGAGATGAAAACGTTCTGCTCATTAGATCATAAATAATAAAAATTAGAGACAACATTGATCTCTTACTAATAAGTGTACCGTTTAAAATTGTAAGAAAAATAACATTTTGCCCAGTCTCTCAACTGCAGAATCCTCTTGGACGAATTATTTTTAATATTTTCATACAGCATGATTCAATTATTTTTTACTATAGATAGTTTTCCAAATCCGTTTAAACTATAGTTATATATAGATTATTCTGTTATGGTTGATTATGAATAGGTACCTATGTTTTTTTTTTTTTTATCTTTTTGTACCTACTGATGGAGCTAAATTTAAAGATAATACGAAAATAATTGTGATACAACCTGTATATTAATTTGTCACGATATTATAATATGACGGTCGAGTACATAAAATGATAACTTATACGAAAAGTTATAGTTTATGATTTCAAGGACTAATAATGATAGTTGATTTCATTAAGCAGCATCTGAGAAAAAATACTGTTAATGGGAGCGTCGAGGATTTAGCTCTTTATCCTCCTCTATCGTAGTGGAATGACTCGAGTTAAAATAAAATACTTAAGATATAAAATACCGTCAAATAGGCAGTTTGCACTATAATTGCACTTGATGACAAACGTGACGGGCGTATTTCATGGCGTTCTAAAAACTAAGAGATGTCACCGTAGTTAGAGAGGATAAGAAAAAATGTGTAAAATACATTTTAACTCGACGGCTGCCCATATTATTATATTTTTTTTTACCAACAAACTGATAAAAACAAATCTCCAGCCCTTATGTCGTGCGATAAAATATGTTGTGCCCTGTTGTGATGCGTGACTTTTCGTGTGTTTCCACTGCAGGGGCGAACAAGCGGCGAGTGGGTGGGCAGCAGAGTTCGATGCGTTGGCCACCGTCACCGCCCCGGTAACGACGGTCGACGGACACGCCATGCCGGCCACGGGCACAGCCGCGCTGGTGGCCACGGCGCTGGTGCTGCTGCAGTGCGCGGCCACCGGTTGTGACGGACAGAGTGCGGCCATACGGCACGGCCGGTCGCGGAACGCCAGGAACCTGCGGCCGAACGCACAGGCGCCGGCCAAGCCGCTGCAGACGGCCACGGCCACGGCGAGCGAGCTGGACAACGACATCGTCAACCGGTTGCTGCGGATCGTCGAGTCGCAACAACAGTTGGGCGACAACTGCACCGCCGGCACGCACCTCAACCTCGGCGAGGGCGTCGTTGACCGGTACGCTCAGGTGAGTGACGTTCCGACCTATAATTTTAGGTAGTATTAGTATATAAAACGGTACGAAAGAGAAAAATGGATTTTATTTTTACAAAAGAATTTTCAACGGTGAGATTAGATCAACATTTCCAAGCACCGATATTTGAATTGATATTTTCTTATATTTTATGAGACGTACCAATTCGATTAAAAACGAGTATTTTTTTAATAATATTGTACCTATTGATAGATATTCATAATTACCAGACGGTTTTCATAATAATATATCAAAATAACGTTTTGAACGTACCTAATAATAACAAAAACAACTGATTAATATTTGCAAATTAAACATGTCACTCTGTATAATACAAGAAAAAAAAAGTTATGCTTGGAGATACTCTTCGGTATCCACGCAGTTAGCTTTTTTTCCTTATTTTTTTATCACTCTCGTCTTACTATAATTCCTATATTTTTTTTACATTTTGTTTTAAATTGATTTCTAAAAATAATTATTGTCATCATATCGTTTTTTATATACTAATATGACGTTGAGCTGACAGCATTATATTGTTAAAAATAAAGGATTATAAAAGGCTATATGTTACGCGTCATCAGTCGGGTCACGAACATTCGGGATAATAATTTAATACTTTTTTTTTTCTTACGAGACAAAAGATTAAAATAAAAACCCACTTCAGTTGTACAGTACATTATTATGAGCTTAGAATTCTATCGATCCAATCAATCGGCCGGAAATCGTATTATGCCACTCATAACAAATTGTGCTAATCACATATTGTACATAATATGGTAAATAGCACTCTTACCAAATTTAATTAATTGTACTCATGAGAATTAACAAAATGCTAACAGTAAAAATATTATATACTCTCACGTATGTTGATCGTGTAATGTATACATTTCAATGTTGGCACTGTATATTGTACTCACATAAAAATTTAAAAAAAATTTTCGAATGATATATGTTTAATATTATATATAACAAAGCCTTTAGAACAAAGGTTAAATGCCGTTATTTACATTGTACAGGAAGGAAATACGAACCTATCGTTTTAAATTACTTTTTGTTTTACTTATATGTAAAATAGTTTAAATATTTTACGAAACCTTATATTGTTAAATTATATATTGTATAAAATATACTTTGGGTTGGTCAGATTATTAAAATTTACCTTTTAAAAAATATCATATTTGTTCATCTAAGTTTACTTTCCCAACTCTTTTCTTGCGAACGTCCAGAGTTAGATTTAATTAAAAAATATATCTATCCTTTAAAAGTTTCTATTCTTTTCAATTAAATAATTACATTTATGAAGCAAGACCTTTTATAAAACTGACAGATTAAAACAATATTCCAAAACTTGCAGAAACACGAATAATATTTATTATCATAACTATTATTAATGTCAATGTTATGTTAAAACAAAAGTTATCAAAATAAAAGATAACAACAAGTGTGTCCAATATTTAATTAAATATTTATATATATGTATTTAAATTGTTTTAATATGTAATTTATTTATATTAATTAATAATATTAACTACTAAGTAATGTATTGAAGACACAAAATGCTCAAAAACATAGTATAGGAAGGTACCTAACTTGTATGAACAAAACACGATAAATTAAAACATATACCAAAGTTAGACCAAGTATTTGCATATTCGGAAAAATCTTGAATTTATTAAAAGTATATAAAAATACTTCATAAAATATTAAAATATATTCGGTACTAATTCTAAATTAATTTTAAAATATATATTTAAGAATGGAGTACCTTTTGTAAAAATATTCAAAATGTATTTTGATAAATTATACTAAAAATAGTATCTATATCAAACACAAGTTTTAAAATACTTGATGGTTATTATAATTTCTAATAACTTTTCTTATCCCAATATGAAGAATCAATATCAGACTATTATTTTTAGGGGGGAAAGGAACACACATCACGATAAATAAAAAACATTCCCATTCAAATAAAATTATGTAATAAATATATTCAATAATGTTAGTTTTAATTTGAAATCAATAGTAAAAAATATGTTAGTTGATATAATGTTTAAAATGTATTACACAAATTGATGAATCGACTTTTTTAAGTTGATACAAGTACAACTTAAGAGGAATTTTTTTTTAAAAAATGCAACACTTGTAGGAAATGTTTACAAATAGCTTTAAATTAGTCTGAATATTTGGAAAATATTGTATAGGTATTATTAGACAATTATAAACTAACTAATAGTGGATAATAAATTGTCTTAAGTTTCTACAATCAATTTTTTTAATGATAACATAAACCTCCCCTCCTCCCAAGTTTCAAGTAGATTCAACTTACTACCATAATCCATCCTTATAGTTAAAGGTTGAAGCATATTTTTATCTACTGTAAAAAGTTTCTCATAAAAAAAACATTAAACACACATCATTGTAAAACCAATACATTCAATGTTCCAATCAGAGAATTTAAAAAAGGGCACTAATTAGGAGACATTTATTTATGTTGGCAAAACTATTAAAAATTCTAATAAGAACATCACCAATAATTATTTAGTGATTCGTTGTTTAAATAAGTATAGTTTGAAAAAAAAATATTCAAATTAATCAAACTACAGAGTGGATAGTTCAACGATATTTTAATGAAAACTTTTTTGATTATATAAAAAATAAAACGTTATTAAATAGGTAAATAGGGTAAATAGGTATTCATTTAAAGAATGACGATGGAATATTATCAAACAAATATTGTATTTTTAAAAAAAAAACTTTGTTGATGTTGGCGGGATATGAAATTTATATTACTGTAATACTGTTCATTTAATAATATTAGTTTATATGTTGGTACATACTACATATTTTATGTCTATTATATATTTTAGTCTAATAATACTATTGTAATTACTTTTATAAATTTTCATATTCTAGTTATTTAATATCATACATTATATAATACAATTTGTGTTTGGTAGATACTTAAAACGAAATGCCTTATAATCAGGTTATGATATTATTCATTCAAAAGATGACCACTATAAATTAGCATAGCAATTTCTGACAAGAGTCATATATAATAATATCTGCGTAGTGTAAATTATATTTTTTTTATTGCAAACATACATTTATACCGCCTGTATTAATCAAACTAACGGACATACAAGTGTAGTTTGAACAGACTTAGGTACTCCAATTCATCCAAAATGCATTAACTCTCTATTTTTAAACGTCAGTCTTATTTTTATTTGACTTTAAAATAAATCAAAACTTTTGTGAAATTATCGTAAATCAAATTTACTATCGATTGGGTTCACCAATACAATTATGTGAAGTTTAGATAAAATTAACAGATCAGAGCTACAGAATATTGTAAAAACAAAAAAAATAGATACCCACAAAACATTTTTAATCTAGCTACTATTTATTTAAATGTGTATTTTGAAGACAATTATTAAAAAAATATGTTATTGTTTAAATTAAAATAGGTAACTAATAAAAATACTTTGGTAATAATGTAAACTAACAAAAATTAATACAATATTAATTATTAATGTATATGATATTTAGCGAACGAATAATTATGATATTAAAATATTATAATTTTTTTTATTTAATAATAAAAAAAAAACTTAAAACTAAAATATATACTTACTAAACGTAAATAATATTTTCTGAAATTATTATCGTTTTTAGTTAGTGGTAAAAGTAATGACAGTAAGATTAAAAAATAATTTTAATTCAAAGCCTAAGTATAGTAATAAATTATTATCATTTGTTTAAAAGTAATCATGATCTGTATTGATTAATATATATTTCAGTAGCCAGTAGGTACCTATTAAAAATATATTATAACTTAATTAATAAAGACCATTCATCAAATTTAAAAAAAAAAAAATAAATTGGTTAAAATATAAAATAATAATTTTATGAAATTGTAAACGTTTGAAAAAAAATAGGTAATGATATAATCGCTTGTAAAAATAGTATAATATCAACCATGATTTTATATTGCTTTAGGTTTAAACTATTTTTTTTCTTTTTCGATATAGGTATTGTATACCATAAATTAATATATAATTGTGTTTAAACTTTAAAAGTCATATTATCATACATTTTAGTAATTATTAATCCATCCCAACAAAATTGGATAGGTGTAATTGTGTATAAAATATTATACAAATATAATTTGTTGTTTCGAAATATTTTGACGTGTCAAATATCAGTGCATTTCTATCAAAGAGTGGACAACTTAAACCTGATAATTTAATAGTATAAGCATAAATAATTAATAATTAATCAATTGAAACGATATAAAATATATACAAAAAACTATGGACTGTATAGTATGTTTGAAATAATTTATAACCATTCCCGTGATCAACAATAACAATGGGTACTTGATAAATTGATATGAATATTAAAAAAAAAATATTTGTAATTTTTGAATCATTATTTAATATGTTATCAGTGTATATGTTGAGTACCTATACTATGTAGAGATAGAATAGTAAATTTTTCGAAACTTTAATCACTATTGTTTTTATGGGTTATAAAAGTAATAGAACTTATCTGATCGAAATAAAATGCTATTATTGATATTATTTATGGTCTAAAACATATTTTAGGAACATATTTTTTTACATTTTCTTTGCATAATATATATTTTAAAGATTACATTTCAGTATAATTAAATAGAATATAAAAACGGGATCGGTTTTGGAAGAAAACGTGAGTGGATTATGTAATTATTTAAAAGAAAAAACTAAAATAGTAAATAAATATCTCAATACGTTATTCGATCAGATTAGACTTGTATAATACGCGTTGAAACGGAAGAGCGAAGGTTATTTATACATTTTTCAAAAATTGAAGTGTAAATTCATCTAACTACCTATTATAAAGACATTCCATTGTTTTAAAATTATCCAATATAATTACGATTAATGATGAAACGTATAAACCTATTATTCACGCGTGCTTAATAAGATTTGTTTTTTGTTCAGACACAAAAGAGCATTTAAAACGTTTACACATAAACTGTTTGC